GCGGATTTTGCAAGCAAACCCCATTTATATTCAGTATTTCAACAACCATAGTAATTGTTATATAACACCTGCCGCTGAGAATGATGAGAATTGCTGAGAATCAAACGAACTGTTTTCAATTTGATCAATTTTCTGGAACATTTACAATCATTCTATAATCGAACCAATATGCAATAACAAATTTGAATTTAAAACAGTTCAAACATTTGGTTAAAAAATCAAAATATATAAAAATATTTATAACAATGTCTGAAATGTTATCAATTTAATACACCTAAGTACTCAATGAAGACTAAACATAGTTGAAAACAAAAAATTCCATCTAAAATAGTACAGTAGAAGCCGTTCTTCAGGTTAAGCCTTAATCCTCTCCCTCTCCCCCCGCGGGGAGAATTTCCAAAAATCCCTTCTTAGTGTACATTTTCATGACGTACCCTAACTGTGTACCAAATTTCACCTCTTTAGGGTCAGCGTTTTGCTCTGGGCAATGATGAAACAGTCAATCACTCAGTCAATCAGGACAAGTAATTTTATATATTTAGATTAATATTATTGAATTAAAACTGTCATTATATAAATTCAAATCAGATAGAAAATTTTCATTATTATTCAATAAGCTCCATGCCTATATGTTTTGCACTACTGATGGAGATCTCTTGTGGTAAAATAGTGAACTTTGTAGTTACAAACAACAGAGTTATGACTGAGCTAATATAACAAATTTGACAAATTTTTCCTCTGAAATAAAGAAACAAAATATTTGTAGCATGGTATGATGTAATACTTCTTACAGTAATAATATGGATAGTTTTTTTTTTTTTTCCTTACGAAAAAAGACCTAGTTAGAAGAAAGGTATAGATTAATGCTGTATGGAGGCTTTACTTTTATTTGTCTATATTCATTCATTATAAAATCATTCCTAATTTTTGATGGATATTTTATTTCCAATAAACAATAATGTCTGTCACTGTCTCTGATAATGCCATCTGAAGAACAGCATAGCCATGACATTTCTGGGCACTGTACTCTTCATTGAGCAGATAATATCTGTTGAGTTTTCTATCAGTATATTATGTTTGGATCAGCTAGAGATATGTGTTGGTTTGTTTTCCTATATCTTTTTCTTGTTCCAAAAAATATGGCTAAGTCTTATTGTTTGTTTGTATTCTTCTTTTTTTTAAAGTTGCTGATTTATTCCAAGCTTGTGCTAACTTGTTTTTGGTTCTATTTTTTTCTTCTTTACTAATAAAAAAGTATCAAGAATTCCAGCTCTGCATGGACTTCTTGATACTGAATAAAACAGTATCTAATAAATAATAAATTATTCATTAAAACAGTATTTACTATTAATCTAATAAAACGGTATTTACTAATAAAAAGTAAAGAAGGCATTAATCATTTTCCATTGGTCATTAAGCTGAAAAAATAATATATGGCGATTGAGTTAATATGTTTATGCTGATTCTTTTATCAATTCCTTTATGTCCTATGTTGATGACAGCAAATCTTGCATGTACTTTCTTCTTTTGCAATAAACATTGAAGAGATTTAAAAAATTTTTGGATTAATATTTTTATTTTAAACATGAAACATACATTTTTATAAAATTAAATTTTAATTAAAAAATGATCAAAAGAGATGTAATATAGATTATTAACTTTCCTTTGGACAACTTATACTAGAATTTGTTAGCTAGATTTATGTATGTGCATTTGCAGAATATATTTACCAAAAGCTGTGTATTTTTGAATATTTTGAATAACATTATGAAAATGGCCTGTTTATTTTAATTTTTCCCTGCTCTAATGGATTTTCTACAAAAAATCATCCTCAAAAGTGATAGGAAAAAAAATTATTTCTTAAAACTATATTAATGAACCTATGTAAGTACATATTTGTAACTACATTTTTCAAATTTCTACTGCAAGAGGGCACTTTACTATAGCACCATCAGATTTAGGCAGGAAGCATATATAAATTTTACTATGATGAAAATAATTCTGTAGTGTTTTTTATAAAATTATATTATATATTATGTATAATGCTATAAATTATGTACAGTATAACGTAATATTATGATATACGTAATATGTAATATAACGTAACATTATTTAATAAACTCACTCACAAAATATATACTTTTCTCTATTGTAAAGAATTTACAAATAGTAATTTTGATGGAATGCTTTTTACATATTGCAATTTGTAAAAATCTTTACAACTAATAAATGTATTAATAAGTAACATAATAAAGTATTAATATACTTTATTAGGTTTATTAGGTTATTTTAATATTATAAGCTTAGCTTTTGAATTATTTACAATATGTAATATCTTTTACTTCATCAAAACAATGATAAATAAATATACATTAAAAAGAATTTGGAACAGCAAGCCAGTATGATTACTTGTATTGTTTTTGGTAAATATTAAAAAGTTAATTCATGAAATAAAATCAGTAAAAGTCATTTTTAATCTAACATTTACTGATTTTAAAATGTATTAAGTCATTTTTAATCTAACATAATACATTTTTATGCTATTGTAAATTACAAACAACTTATTTAATGATTTTATATTATTAATCAATAATGAAAGATAAACAGAAAAAATATTCATACTTGGCACCATAATCAAAATTATTAGGAAAAAACAGTGTTGAATTCAGGAACAAAAACAAGTTTTTATTCAGAAACATTAGATATAATCTATCAGAATTTGTATATATAATTGTTTGTGTTTTATTCACAGTTAACCAAAATATTGCTAAAAATAAAATTAACTTTATATTAATATATAAAATAGCTTTTTATAGCTTTTAAAATTTTAATATAACATTAACACTACATAAAAATTTAAAATGTTATTTTAAATTCTTATTTTTCTTTGAAGTATTAAGTTATATGATCAAATAGCATATGTAGCACTAAAAAAATAATCATTTATTTGTTATTTATCTCATTATATCCAGATTCTGAGAGTAACAAGTAAAGAATACTCCAAAAAGAGTCCAGTTCTTTACAAGTACTGAATAATAACTACTTACATATCATTAATCTTCTAAATAATATACAACAGATGATGTATTGATAAGTTATAAAGACTATAAATCAATTAATAAAAATTTGATGTGTTCATACCTGATTCCAATCAGGAGTTGTTGTATGAGGTGAAACACAACATACTGCTGAAGTATGCTTGTAAAATGCTGCTTTTCTATGAAAATTCATTTCTGTATATAAATCAAAAAGATTGGACCACCATTGTATCTGAAAAAATAATTATTAGATTAAATAACACAAACTCAATAATAATCTACAAATAAAAAAAATACAAAAATCTTTACATAAAATAAATATTCATGGTAATTCTAATCATTGATCTATACCATTCATTGACAAAAAAGTTATGCACCAAGAAGGAGGTATTGGAACTGAATGAAATTTTATTAGTGAAAATGTAATGACAATGGTAGTAAGTGATTACAATATCATGGCAAAGAGACAATTTTTTGTGAAATAATACAATTTACAGAACCTTTAGCATCTCCTCTTGCCTAGATATATGTGTGACAATATGGTCAGGCATGAAGGGGAGACATACAAGCATTGTGATGCTATCCTGCAACAAGTTTGCCAACAGATGCTGTAAGTGCCAACATAGATTCCTCATACTTGTAGATAGTTGAATCTGGCATTCCATCTGGTCCACAAATGCTCACTGGATGACATATCTGGAAACTAGGTAAGCCAAAAGAGTATGACATGATTAAGGTAAGAAAAATATTCCTGAAAAACCCTAGTTATATATAAACAAGCATTACTTTTATGGAAAATGGTTGTTTGTAGCCTTGCCATGAAAGACAACAAAGAAAAGCACATGACTGAACATGCTGCATGTGTCATCAATGTTCCTCATATCACTACTATGACACTACTACAATGTTCCTCATATCATAGCAATAACAATTATATGCAATACCTCACCAAACCAGCATTCCAGAAAAAAGGACAGTGTATCTCTTAACAGTAAAGGAAAGAATGATGTGCTCACCAGTGGACCTCCACACTAATACAGTGATCACCTATTCTCAAACAAAATTGGGATTCACTAAAGACAATATGCTTCCAATTGTAGCAATCCACGCTTCTCTGTCATAGTACCATTGAAAATGAAGTGAATAATGTTGGAGTGCTAATGGCAGGATGCACAGTGGTTACTGTGCATGTAAGTTTGCCTCTGCTAATCACCAACTCAAATTATTAAGGCATAAAAAAATCAAAAATTTATGTGCATTAAATACATATTCTCTATTTCTTCAAAAATTGCTTACCTTTTAAATTAAAAAATTTATTAATTAAGAAATAATAAGAAATAGAGAATATGTATTTAATGCACAGAAATTGGCAGGATGCATATATATATATATATATATATAATGGCCTGCCATTTTATTTCAAATTCACTATATCAATAGGAAAATACATGCCAGATTATTGATGAATAAAATTATTCAGTTGGGGAAATCTACCAGATTACACAATTTAAATGATTATTTACTAGGGTTTCTCATTTCCCGGTCTTTTGCTTGTCCCGGGATCCCGGGATAAAAGTGAACTGTTTCCCGGGATCCCGGGAAATCCCGGGATAGAATTAATTATTTTTAAGGTATACAAAATATCTTGAAATCAAATGATATACAGTAATTATTTTCCATTTTTTAAAGTAATTTTAAAGTTCTGTAACCTCCAAAATCATATTAATAATGCTGTGTAAGGTCTTTAGGCCTATAATAAAAATTACCTTTAAATAACGTAGAAATTTTCACAAATAGAAAAAAATTAATTAAAGTTTGCTGGAAACTGCATACAACAACAACAAAAAAAATGTTTTGAATTGAGTTAAAAATTAAAAAAATGAACTTCTAATTTAGAAGGTAATTTTCGTTTTTTAAATAAAATATAATACAAAATATTGCAAACTTTTATAAGATTTTAAAAAGCAAAGATGGTCAATACTCCGATAACTCACTCTAATTCTTATTTTAGTAATGAAAAGTCTTGCCACCGAGAATGCCCTTTCCGATTCAATTGATGTGATTGGAATAGTGTTTAATGCATTTAAGAGAAGACAGATATTATGTGTTTTTTCACCTGTAGCCTGGAAGCTTTCGAGTTCGTTTTCGAGATTGTAGTACTTCTTTCGCTCTCTAGTATTCTTGATTTGTCTACCTTGGCTGCTTTAATAGCGGCATCAAGCTTAGAGCTCGATAATTCGGCAATTCATTTGGCTTTAATAATCAGGTTTATGAAGAAAAACTTCATACTTGCAGACTTTGTACTCGTTTGTATCCTTGCCCAATTTGCACAATCTGGCGTCAGGCATTTATTGAAGCTACTGGGCATGGTTAAAACTCAAGACAGCGTAAGCACAATTATTCCAGATATTACAGGTTCCGACAAGTAAAGAATTTTTATAGTCCTGCCACAAATAAGCTATATATTGATTATTGACCATTTGTGACATGCTATAACGAGCAAAAATTTAAAAAAAATAATAGGTAGGTTTAAAATTAATAAATACAAATGTATTCTGACAGTGAATGAGTTAATTAAGCTTTCTATTTGCAAAATTCCTCAACCTTAACACAAAATAAGAAAAAAAGTGAATTTTTAAGAAATTTGCGGGATTTCCGGGGATAAGAAAAATTTCCCGGGATATTTCCCGGGTTAAAAAAACAACCGGGATCCCGGGATCCCGTTTGAGAAACCCTATTATTTACGTCTATTGAAAACTGGGGTTTTGCCCTCTTTGTTATATGCTTCTGAGATTTAGGGTTTTAATTTGATTAATGGTGATAGTATACAGATTGAATTTATTAAAAACCTATTTTGATTACCTCGTTGTATACCAGGATATTTAATTATGATAGAGTGTGCCTTGACTCCTATAAAACTTTTGATATTTAGTAGGTTAAGAAATTGGATTATTAGGATTTTTAATTTTGATGACTATCGTTTGAGTAAGGTTTGCCTGAAATTTATACTTGGTAAGAATTCTATAGAGTAGACATATTATCTTATTGGTACTTGTAATAATCATGGTATTAATTTTATAAATGATAATTTGGATTTAATGGATTGGTCTCTTCTCCTCGTTAATATCTTTGATAATTTTTTACATGGCATAAATGGAAAAATAAATAATAGTGTGTATAATTGTTGGTATAAGGATTTAAATGTTACTTTTTTGATAACTCTATATAATCAAGATGTTTCTTTTACCATTTTGTCTTTCTTTATGCAGGCTAGGTGTAATTCACTGAATTTCTTAAATCATTACTCAAGAAAACTGTGTAATTTTTGTGTTGAGGAAGAAACTGTGGATGCTTGGCATATTTTGGGCTAAATGTGGGCGTCTTAAATTATTATGAGAAGAAATTTTTGGCTGTGTTGTTTTTTCCAGATCTTTCTTTCTTAAAATTTTATTGGAACCTTGTTTTCAATTTAAAGTGTTTTGTTTTCTAAAGAAATCTGTTGATCTTTTGTTTTAGGGAGCGTGTTTCTTCTGCTATAAATTTGGTTTCATTGCTGGTGTTGTTTGGTAGCATCTTTCAGTGCTGTGTCACCAATAATAAATTATTTTTTCTTTTTAGGTAAGCAATTTGCTTATTATTGTTTTATTTATTGGTATTTTCGTATTTTGTTGACAGATGCTCCCAAGTTTTAAACTTTAAATACTACATTTTAATTTTGAATCTTAATTTCAATTATTACTTATAATTTATCATTGTATATTTTTGTCTGTGTTTTTATAATTTTTGTATTTAACTGTTTTGTTTTTGGGAGAAGGTATTGCTCCCCACATCAAGGATTGTATCCAATATGCATAATAAATAAATTAAAAATAAAAATAAATAAATTACTAAAATATATGTGAAGAAAAAATTACACTCCTCTAAAGAAATGAGAAAAAAGAATATGTTTAGAATTTATTAACAATTTATTAAATAATCTTAAACAAGTTTTAACAAAAACTTAGTCTATTTAAAATTCCAATAACATTTTTTCAATAAGCTCTTTAAAATAGTAAGAATTTTTGCTTTCACATTTGTATTGTAGTAATGCATTTTGTATCATTTGATTTACCTCCAATACTTTCATAAATATAAGATCTAAACAGATTGTTTGAATCATTCTATATATAAATTTTAAAATAACTTTCAGAAGAATGTACAGTATTTAAACTGAATTTCCAGTAATTAAATATACAATCAATCAATGTTTAAAGACTTTATATAAGAACTTTTAATATAATGTGATAAGTTGCTCTAATTAACTTTTAGTTTGTTTGATGTTGTTTACTTTATTTTCAAACCAAACTATTAATTTTTTAAATATTTTTTCTCAACCAATTGCCTTTCAGAAATGCATCTGTTTACATGTTATACACAAAATTATTTTTTCTTGTTAATTATTCTTGTGACATTAAATAAAATAATAAAATATTAAAACTTAAAATAGAACTATCAAATATAAAAAATATAATAATACTATTATAACAAAAAATATAAAAAATACTACATATATAATTTATAAATCTGCTTAAGTTAAGATCAAAATTTATTTAGTTAATTCTCTTAAAATATTAAATATAAACATCTATAAATTAAACCACTTTAAACATTTAATATAGGGCAGGTTGAATAGTAAGAATAATACCAAAAAATGTTGATAGTATTAATTAATAAATATTTAAATATAATAAAAATCACAAAGCCCGATGCATTGATACTAAACCAAACAATCGCCTTAGTTAATTGGGCTATTATTAATAATTAGATATTAAGTAATTTGGTATTAGAAGTAGACGTTAGGTGCCATCTCTTATCTAAATTAATAATTTATTAAATAATCTTCCAAACTGTTCTAAATTATTTAATAAATAATTAAATTATTATAATTATTATTATACCTCTACCTCTAATACTAAATTACTTAACATCTAATTATTAATAATAGCAAAATAATAGCCCAATTAATTACAGCAATTATTTGGTTTTGTAAATGTTTAAGAATTTAATCTGTTGTTCAAAAATAAAACTTCTCTAGAACAATAAATCAAACTTTCATAAACTTGAATAAAACAAAAACCTGCTTAAGCAAGAAAAATTCTTTGAAATGGAGCAATTTTTTCTGTTAAAATGAAACCTGCTCAAAATGGAAACTTGCCAAACTGGAAAAAATATTTGGTACTGTGCACTTCCACA